TCAGTTAGATCAACTTCGTACCTTTTTCGGTCGGCTCTCGTCTCCACACTTTTTCAATTTTCCTACATATAAAATACAATTGAACCTCCCGTAAGAGACGACCCAAAATGTCAAGCCTAGGTTGTCGCCTACGGGAGGTGGTCGCTTACGAGAGTTTAGACCATATTGGGTTCAAAATTTTTCCCTCAAGCAAGTGGTTGTTTTTAACATTTAAGGTCGTCTCTTTTAGGACTGATAGAGTACAGTGTATGTGAACTTTTTCTTTAGATTTTTAAATGATTTATTCATGTCAAAAGTCAATTTCGTGAAAAAATCCGGTACTTCCCAGAAATGCAATAATGTTACAACACCTTATAATCCAATTTGCCCTCTATTATCTGTCAAGTGATCGCTTACGGTGGGTTGAAAACAGAAGAAAATTTCAAACTTGTAGCTCTAACTTAAACGTGGTCGCGGTCGCTTACAAGAGGTTCCAAATATATTGATTTGGCTCGGAAACGTTTGGCATTTTGGAAAACTGGTCGTAGAGGAGAGATGGTCGCAACTGGAGGTTTGACTGTATCTCAAATACTAAATATTGATATTTTCACTTTAATTTCGACCGCAGGTTCTTCTACAATGTTGAAATAGAAAATGGCAGCCAAAATAACCGGTTCGATTTCCATACCGTTTAGAGCTTTTAATTAACACTTTTTTGGAACATCTCCAGTTCTGAATTGAAATTCTGAATTTCTCCACCGTGACTACAATACTGACTTCACGTATAATTTATAACTTTTCAGCCCTTTTCGACACAGGCTTAAATAACTTGGAATTAAGTAGCCAAATGAAAACAAACACAGCCATTAAGTGTTTGGCCATAAAAAGCTTCTTTAGATGTGAACAATAGTTTTAACTCAAAAGAAACCTTGGTTCACTTGTAGTTCTACTTGGCTATAAATGTTTATTCAGGCCAACAGGTGGCAAAGTTTTGACAGAGTCGAATATTCCAGAATAATATAAACTTCATTTTCAATTTTTACATTAACTAAATATTCAGATTTAGTCCGCTAAAAGAGAGAGCCTGTAAATTGACAGCCCTGTTAGCACTTGATGGGCTTCCTAGAAAGAACTGTTTTTATTGGCTAATTTGCATTTGATATTTCAGTAAATACACTGTGATATTTAAACGTAATTTGGCAAGTATTTACTGCAGCGCAAAATACCGAATAGGGGCCCCTTTGTTGATATTTAGTCAGCAGGTACCGGCAAAAGGTTTTAATGCTCGTTTTGGCAAAACTGGACTGAAGTTACATGTTTGTAAATAATATATAAGTCAATCCCTTACAAAAAAAAAAAAAAACGTTTTCTGAGAAGAACTCCCTTCAAGGACTTGCTTGGGCAAAAAAGCGCAAAAAAGGCCCGCTAAATGTTTAGAGAACGTCTTGGAATAGATAAAAGCGCCGTCTTACTGTGAAATTTACAATAATATGTCATCGACGGAAAATCTTTTACAAGAGTCTGGTGATAGATCTACAAATACGTTAGAATCTGGTCACCGTTCAGAAAGGGCAGAAGACGATTTGTCTCGTCAAAAACACAGAGAAAAGGCCAGCGAGAAAAAGAAACATCACAGAGATGTAGGTCTGGAAAACAAAGGTTTCGAGTCGGACAGTGAGCAGGCAAACAGAAGTGTTAAACACTACACGAAGGTTCATCGAACATCGAGCGAAAGCGTTGCGCGTCAGTTAACAACGAAACCTGGACAAACGGACGAGAAAAGAAGGCACAGCTTCCCAGGGCAGCCATCTAGCGACACGACGCAGGCAGCTGACGTTGTTGCCCAGAAAGGGAGCAGACATAGGCGGCGTTCTAGCTCAACAGATGAAGATTTGCGGCGAAGAGCTTGTTTCAACAGTATGCGCCTTCGACGTCTTTCAAGCTCAGAATCCAGTCAGCTGCCTCCTTCGGAAGTCGATGTGAGTGTCGACGATGAAGTATTTTACGAAGATTTCACTGCGACGGACGCTAAAGAGAAGCATCAGGCACTTCGCGATGGAGACAGGAATCAGTTGAAGGAAAACAAGACAGCATATTCCATGGGAAGCCTCTGCAACGTTGTAGAAATGGAAAACAGAAAATTGGACGAATATTCCAGGCGTCTGTCCTACGCTTTAGAAGAAAGGGCAAAATTAGAGCAAGAGTTAAGTCTTTTGCGCCGGACAGCGTCGGTTGCCAGTATATCCGCAGAAGAAAAGTGGAAAATCTCGTCGCAAATACACTTTCGAAACGAAAAGTATAATTCTGAAAGGAGGTTAAGTGCTCGAGGCAATGGAGGTAACCAATTCTCGTTTGAACAACTCAAACGTATCCAGTACGGGCACAGTCCGCGAAAATTACCTGATGTTCCAAGAGCTGTTAGTGGTAAGGGCGATGCGTTTGGCGAAGAAATACGTCCTGTAACTGAGAAAAAAGTTGAAAGGTTGCCTCTACGAAAGATCACTGAAGAATCCCCACTGCAATTGAAACAAAAAGGTAAAAGAGATGGCTATGGTTTGCCACTCAGCGACTCCGAAAAGCAAAGGAGAGAACGCAAAACGGCTGATTTAGCAGCCGATTTGTGGCAAAAGCTGTTGAAAGGGGAAAAATTTCATGTCGAGGGCGAAAATATGATTGACAAAACACGTGAAACCTCACTTGATGGGACAAGGAAGACTGGAAGTACAAGAGAAGTCACCAAAAGTGCGAACTCATCTTATGCCAAGCCTGGAATGATCCAAAGAGATTCAGGCAGAGATATTATCGGTAGATTAGCTGAAGTGTCTATCCCCACGACTTCAGGAGTAGAAAAACGAGAAAAACCACTTGTGCGTTCGGAATCTGAATCAAACCTCACACGCACTGATGCGTTTAGAAGAAACCAGAGGCGACCATTGCGTTACAAACGCCGTTCTACCTCGACCGAGGCGTTGCCTGGAGCGACACAACCTTCCACGTCGACGCTCAACGAGGCGGAAACAAACAGGCTACGGCAAGAGAAACCGGAAAAATTGGAGGGGATTCGCAGCACTGAAGCCGTAAGCCAGAATCACAGCCAATGGTTTGACTACATGTTGCCTCCGGGGAAACGTGGAAATAAAAGAGATACTGCGTTACAAAATTCACCCCAGGCTCCGGGCGCCTCACAGCAAGGAATATCTGGAGCTGAGCAATCTCTATCAGAAAAGTTGCGCTATTATCAAGGTTTGCAGGAGCAGAGATCTCGAGAAGAAAACTCGTTTGATTTAGTTGATGCCTTCATGGCTGCAGAAGACGCCGAGGCAGAAAGAGAGTATCAAAGGAAAGCTGCTGGGGAAGCGGCCTTGCTGAGAAGGGAAGCTTCACGTCTGCTGTACCAAGCAATGAACTTGGAGCGAATTTGTGATCCAAACGCTAGAGTGCGGCACATTTTTACTCCGTATTAACCTTTATATTTCCTCCTTAGCCACGTTAAAATCGTTCGAAAAAAATGATCGAGACTTAATGAAGACTTTCATGAAAGCAGTTTGGCCTCAAGCGCCCAGAAATGTTTTTGGATGTGACCTAACTTTTGATTATACAAAGCAGGGTTTTTAAGAAATCGATTTCTGCTTGTAAACACGCTTAGCTTGATCAAGAAAGTATGATATCTTGACGGAAGATGTTTTCTAGTCGGCAGAAATTTCTTAAATAAGTTTTCTTCAATGCTCAGACATTTCCAACAGGTATAACACTACAAGTGGTGTTTGATTTTAACTTGTGAAAGCACATCTTCATAAGATATTTAGAATTAAGGTACGAAATTTAGGCTAATGTCCGCTAACAGTTCTTGACATCATTGCTTTTTGAAAAAGCTCTTTAAATTTTCGGGAGTCCAAAAAGAATGGCTCCTTAAACGAATAGGTTAACGAAAACTCGTGGCACTGTTTGTTTAACATTGTTGTCATGACTACTAAGTAACACCCCCACCAAAAAAAAAATTCTCTGACGTTTTGTTCTCGCGTACTACGTTCGACGCGAGGAGCCTGGTAATAGCAATATCTCTTCATTTCTGAATTGAAATTTTAAGATGTTTTTGTACTGTTGAGACTAGAGAGAAAAATATCTTGAAGCCTGGAAAAGGAACATAACTGAATTTCTGCACGAACAAAACGTTGTTGGATATTTTCAACACGCAGGCAGCTTTCGTGTATCACAAAATGAATAAACTAATTTAGAAATTAGAAATCGACTGCTGGTGTCTAATTTTGTTTTGTTAATTTGTCTGTTTAGTTGTAGCATGATGTATGTAAAGTAGGCACAAGTGTCAAGTACTGTCTCAAAGTTATACAGCATTTTTTTCGCGCTCGCCTCCCACCAGTGTGTCCCGGGTTCGATTCCCAGACCCGGCGTCATATGTGGGTTGAGTTTGTTGTTGGTTCTCTACTCTGCTCCGAGAGGTTTTTTCCCGGGTACTCCGGTTTTCCCCTTTCCTCAAAAACCAACATTTCCAAATTCTAATTCGATCCTGGAATGCACGGGCATTTCTGAACGAGTTCTTGTGAACTCCTTAGTGTTCCGTGGGTAAACAAATTACAATTACCTACATACTAATACGTCTTCTGAAAAACTGTCTACTAGGTAAAGTTTTGTACCCTCTCGACCCCTCCCCCGATAATCCCGCAGTAACGTCGATTTGGTCAGCGGAAGTGTTTACATGGTAGGTTAGTTCTTCATGTATGTTGATTGCGTATTAGGTAATAAGATCACGTGCCTTCGATTTGTGAAGCAAGATGGCGGCCTCGTCCCATTTCTTGTTATTGTGCGTTTTTATTTCACTTTTAGTGTGTTCTTACACGGACTCAATCTTTTCAGTTCCTGTTTTTATATGGTCTAGAAATAGGTAAGTATTATTAGCTCCATTCTTTAACGGTAAGTCGCAGGGTTTCCCCAAAGTTGTTCGATGGAATTTCTTGGGATAGTTCAAAACCTGACAGTTTAATTTCATTTTATAAGACAGCTGTTTTTTGAAGGAAAGCAAAATTGTTTGGGAACAGGCTGATACACGATAGAGCTTTTAAGCAGATCATATTGTCAAGTATCTTAGTTTATGCGTTCTTTTGTGATTTAACTTATTGGCCAACTACTACTATTTTAATATTTTCCAAAACACTTGCTCTCCTTCGAAATGACGATTCTTACTGGCTAGTGTCACGTCAGATTTTACTATCCATAACTATGTTTTGCTAGCCAGATTTCCCACTAGTTAGGCTGTTTTGGTACAGTATTTTTCATTTTTGTATACCCACTACATCCCACAAGATCTGGAATTGAAACTAACTGTCGGTAATGAAGAAGTGAACTTAAATAATTTGAGATATCTCCTTTTTGTCATTCCCATTGTGTTTAGCTTTCTCATTTGCAATTGTAACTAGTAGCTATGCCAAGCTTTATTTTCATCAAATACTATACGAATAGCTGCTTTGTTTTTTTTCATTAGCCAAACAGGCGTGTGGAAATGTAAAACCTATCAGCCAAATCTGAATTTTCACTAGTCTGTGACATGCATGCATGTACATATATATAGTCAAGACTTTTCTTTATAGCCACGGTTACTTACGCTTGTTATAGGCTTAAAGACAAATTGTTGTGAACAGTAAAAGCTTTCAAATGTGTTGACATGGTGTATATTTACAAAAACAAAAAGGTTTTGGAGTAATAGGTGTCCAAAAGTAGCAATTAAGTGTAGAAATGATGATAGATGCAAATGCAGTCATAACACTACTGGAAAAAAATACCTGAAAAGATTTTTAGGCTTTGAACAGGATTTAAACCCATGACCTTTATGTGACTGGTACAATACTGAAGGACATCTATTACCATGGAATTCATATACTTGACCTGAGTATTACGTCCACTGAACATAAAGTTCCAAACCCACACACAACCGCTCTGAAGTGGCTTTAATAGCTCAGTTGGTAGAGCATTGCACTGGTAATGCAAAGGTTATGGGTTTGAATCCCATTCAAAGCCTGAAAATTTTTTCAGGTATTTTTCAGTAGTGTTATGGCTGCATTGGCCTCTATCATCATGTCTAAACAGTTTTGTGTTTGGAAAATACAATAAACCCCAAAATGTTTCTTTATTTTCTCACCAATAGTGAAGTAAATACTGCTGATCCAGTGCTAGCAGGACACACAATAAAAGGAAGAGATTTCCAAGAGAAATACTTAAATAAACTATTCCACACACCTCAAATTGTTGGTGTGTTTCTTCAGGACAGGGTAAGTAGCTATTTACAAATGGCAGGATGTGATACTGATCATCACAGAATTTCTCTTCACATGTTCATTAGCCATGCAACAAAATGTACATTATCAAGCAGGCTGGTGCAGGGTGCAAAGAAAACAAATTTTTCGACAAGCTCTATGATATAAAAAAAAATCTGCATACAAGCTAAGTGGCTCATCAGGCCGAAGCTTATCCCGGTTTTTGTAGCCAGCATGAAGCGACTTGGAGTATTTCTGCCCCCCTCCCCTTTGGATGGGATGCTAGTCCATTCAGTGTTACCCTCAGCATTAAGGTCTCCAGTACCCATTTATACACCTGGGTGGAGAGAGATACTGTGAGAGTAAAGTGTCTTGCCCAAGAACAAAGCACAATGTCCCCTGCCAGGGCTCGAAACCGGACTCAATCCAGAAATAAGTGTACTAACCATGAGGCCACCGTGATGCACTAAAGAGTTCATCTACTGTGTCATTTGAATTTCCTTAAAACTGTTGTTAAGAAACTTCACTTGCCCTTAAGTGATGGACAGAAAGTACCAGCCCAGCTGGAAAGTCCACTAGCCTTGAGGTAATCTGACAAACAGGACTTTCTTTACAGGATGAGGTGACGATAAAATTCAAAATCGCCTATTAAGACACATTGCCTTGATATATCTCCAAATTCTCAGAATTAACATCAAATGAAATGTAAGGAGATTTGTTATTTTGGGAATTCTAAAAATAAGTCTAATCAAAAGAAACAGTTTACTCAGCTTCAAATAAAGTCTACCTCAGTTGTCATACTGAGGACTTAATATTACCTATTTTTTTACAAACATCTCTGAATGAGCAATATTGTTATTTTCTAACCAGTGAAATGTCTTGCTTGGACTCTAGTAAGGGGAACCATATAATAATAAAGGACTTTTGCCAAGCAGTCAAATGCCACTGCTGTACATTGTACCTAAAGTTCAGATCACTTACAATAAAAAATACTTTTCATCAACCAAAAAAATGTAACATTAAGGTCTTCTGTGTCATTGAGACCTACTGTACTTACGATTCAAAATTTTTATTATTAATTTGCACTTTTAATAAGGAAAATATAGCAGTGAAAAAACAAAAAACAAAAAATTGTAAAACCAACGCCAAATTAAGATATGCTCAAGGACCAAAATTAGCTTATTGAGCTTTTCAGTTGGTTATTGACATGTACATGTACCAACAAGTGAAAAGGTAAACAAGTAGAAAAATGTGCATAGTGAATATCAAATAAATTTATAAATCACACAAACTTTTAAACAAAAATATGTCATGGACTTGACTTGTACTTAGCTTCTCCACAGCATTTTCTAGCTACACACTGCTAATATTATTTCTGCTATTTTTTTTTTCTCTAGCTGAGCATAGATGATATAAGTCACTATGGTGATGCATACAGCCCTGGAAACCATGGAGCTGCTTTTTCCAATCTTCTAGCTGCTATGGAAACTGCCAACTCATCAGCTGTTCTTCCATCAGTAGAAGTGTCATCATCTTCTGGTGGAAAGTCTGATGAACTAGTACAGCTGATCAGGAGGTTGGCTAATGGCTTGGTCAAGGAGTTTAACCCAGATGGTAACTTAAATTGGAATTAATTTTCAATTTGAATGTTTAGATTTTGAGTTTTTCCTTGAGGGTCATACAGGGGTATTCTCGTGATATGTGATTAGCTGATTTTATTTTCCGTGAAACATGAATGTAGGAAATTATTCTTTGTGATTCGTGGCCTGAAGGTTTTGTGTGACCCGTAAAGAACTTGAATTATTCAGCAATATTTGTGATTTCACCACTCAATTCTATGTGATTTTGAGGTGCGGATCCTCCGAATGGTTAGAGTCATCTATCAAGAGTGACTTAGACATGCGATTTGCAATATGGAGCCTTGACTTAGCCTTTCACAATTCTTCTTTCTTCAAACACTCTTTCTAGTGTAAGAACAGGTTATTAAAATGAGAATCTTACTTGCTTATTTTTGTGATTCAGGGAAATGCAATTTTTGTATCTGTGATCCATGATCCTCTATTTTTTTTCATTCATGAAGCATGTCATAGACTCCCCTGTATGAACCTCTTCCTTATCTGTCATATTCATTATCAATGATATTCTGAAATCAAGGAAGATGCCAATAAACTTGTTTAAAAAATGCTAAATCAGCTTCATGCAAGTCACAGGACAATGCATGAATTAGGAGCAGTGGGTTTGGTCCCTGATCTGATTATTTTGTCTTAAATTAACATTGTATTTTTGGGGGCACTTCCCCTTAACACTGCAATGTCCAAGTTATTTTACAAGGTTTCAGAAGTGTAACAGCTCTCGTAAGCTTGTACAAGTAATTCTTTTGCTTGTTAGCAGCTGTTATTGTTTTGGGACTAGGGGGCATTGTTTCTGTTGTTTGTTCTATTGTTCTCTCAAAGCATATGAAGCCATTTATGTGAGACCTTTTGAGAGCTACTACATGTATGTGACCCCAAGGTTTGAGTGTTGTTTTGTTGACACGTTGTCCTCTTTTGTTCCTGGTAGAATCTGACAAGTTTGATATTTCCAAGTTTTCATTGGACCGGGAAAAGACTAATGTATTTATATTCCATTTGCTTCCAGCTTCTTCAAGGTTTGTTTGGCTTCTTATTGTTGGTGTGTTCAACTTAATAACTTTAACTTAATTTACTTTAAGTTGTTGGCATAAGAAGATTAAACAAGTCTTAATGATTGAGTGTCCTAAACATTACAGAGTGCTTTCACATGACATCACAGCAGCCATATTGNTGGAGGTAACCAATTCTCGTTTGAACAACTCAAACGTATCCAGTACGGGCACAGTCCGCGAAAATTACCTGATGTTCCAAGAGCTGTTAGTGGTAAGGGCGATGCGTTTGGCGAAGAAATACGTCCTGTAACTGAGAAAAAAGTTGAAAGGTTGCCTCTACGAAAGATCACTGAAGAATCCCCACTGCAATTGAAACAAAAAGGTAAAAGAGATGGCTATGGTTTGCCACTCAGCGACTCCGAAAAGCAAAGGAGAGAACGCAAAACGGCTGATTTAGCAGCCGATTTGTGGCAAAAGCTGTTGAAAGGGGAAAAATTTCATGTCGAGGGCGAAAATATGATTGACAAAACACGTGAAACCTCACTTGATGGGACAAGGAAGACTGGAAGTACAAGAGAAGTCACCAAAAGTGCGAACTCATCTTATGCCAAGCCTGGAATGATCCAAAGAGATTCAGGCAGAGATATTATCGGTAGATTAGCTGAAGTGTCTATCCCCACGACTTCAGGAGTAGAAAAACGAGAAAAACCACTTGTGCGTTCGGAATCTGAATCAAACCTCACACGCACTGATGCGTTTAGAAGAAACCAGAGGCGACCATTGCGTTACAAACGCCGTTCTACCTCGACCGAGGCGTTGCCTGGAGCGACACAACCTTCCACGTCGACGCTCAACGAGGCGGAAACAAACAGGCTACGGCAAGAGAAACCGGAAAAATTGGAGGGGATTCGCAGCACTGAAGCCGTAAGCCAGAATCACAGCCAATGGTTTGACTACATGTTGCCTCCGGGGAAACGTGGAAATAAAAGAGATACTGCGTTACAAAATTCACCCCAGGCTCCGGGCGCCTCACAGCAAGGAATATCTGGAGCTGAGCAATCTCTATCAGAAAAGTTGCGCTATTATCAAGGTTTGCAGGAGCAGAGATCTCGAGAAGAAAACTCGTTTGATTTAGTTGATGCCTTCATGGCTGCAGAAGACGCCGAGGCAGAAAGAGAGTATCAAAGGAAAGCTGCTGGGGAAGCGGCCTTGCTGAGAAGGGAAGCTTCACGTCTGCTGTACCAAGCAATGAACTTGGAGCGAATTTGTGATCCAAACGCTAGAGTGCGGCACATTTTTACTCCGTATTAACCTTTATATTTCCTCCTTAGCCACGTTAAAATCGTTCGAAAAAAATGATCGAGACTTAATGAAGACTTTCATGAAAGCAGTTTGGCCTCAAGCGCCCAGAAATGTTTTTGGATGTGACCTAACTTTTGATTATACAAAGCAGGGTTTTTAAGAAATCGATTTCTGCTTGTAAACACGCTTAGCTTGATCAAGAAAGTATGATATCTTGACGGAAGATGTTTTCTAGTCGGCAGAAATTTCTTAAATAAGTTTTCTTCAATGCTCAGACATTTCCAACAGGTATAACACTACAAGTGGTGTTTGATTTTAACTTGTGAAAGCACATCTTCATAAGATATTTAGAATTAAGGTACGAAATTTAGGCTAATGTCCGCTAACAGTTCTTGACATCATTGCTTTTTGAAAAAGCTCTTTAAATTTTCGGGAGTCCAAAAAGAATGGCTCCTTAAACGAATAGGTTAACGAAAACTCGTGGCACTGTTTGTTTAACATTGTTGTCATGACTACTAAGTAACACCCCCACCAAAAAAAAAATTCTCTGACGTTTTGTTCTCGCGTACTACGTTCGACGCGAGGAGCCTGGTAATAGCAATATCTCTTCATTTCTGAATTGAAATTTTAAGATGTTTTTGTACTGTTGAGACTAGAGAGAAAAATATCTTGAAGCCTGGAAAAGGAACATAACTGAATTTCTGCACGAACAAAACGTTGTTGGATATTTTCAACACGCAGGCAGCTTTCGTGTATCACAAAATGAATAAACTAATTTAGAAATTAGAAATCGACTGCTGGTGTCTAATTTTGTTTTGTTAATTTGTCTGTTTAGTTGTAGCATGATGTATGTAAAGTAGGCACAAGTGTCAAGTACTGTCTCAAAGTTATACAGCATTTTTTTCGCGCTCGCCTCCCACCAGTGTGTCCCGGGTTCGATTCCCAGACCCGGCGTCATATGTGGGTTGAGTTTGTTGTTGGTTCTCTACTCTGCTCCGAGAGGTTTTTTCCCGGGTACTCCGGTTTTCCCCTTTCCTCAAAAACCAACATTTCCAAATTCTAATTCGATCCTGGAATGCACGGGCATTTCTGAACGAGTTCTTGTGAACTCCTTAGTGTTCCGTGGGTAAACAAATTACAATTACCTACATACTAATACGTCTTCTGAAAAACTGTCTACTAGGTAAAGTTTTGTACCCTCTCGACCCCTCCCCCGATAATCCCGCAGTAACGTCGATTTGGTCAGCGGAAGTGTTTACATGGTAGGTTAGTTCTTCATGTATGTTGATTGCGTATTAGGTAATAAGATCACGTGCCTTCGATTTGTGAAGCAAGATGGCGGCCTCGTCCCATTTCTTGTTATTGTGCGTTTTTATTTCACTTTTAGTGTGTTCTTACACGGACTCAATCTTTTCAGTTCCTGTTTTTATATGGTCTAGAAATAGGTAAGTATTATTAGCTCCATTCTTTAACGGTAAGTCGCAGGGTTTCCCCAAAGTTGTTCGATGGAATTTCTTGGGATAGTTCAAAACCTGACAGTTTAATTTCATTTTATAAGACAGCTGTTTTTTGAAGGAAAGCAAAATTGTTTGGGAACAGGCTGATACACGATAGAGCTTTTAAGCAGATCATATTGTCAAGTATCTTAGTTTATGCGTTCTTTTGTGATTTAACTTATTGGCCAACTACTACTATTTTAATATTTTCCAAAACACTTGCTCTCCTTCGAAATGACGATTCTTACTGGCTAGTGTCACGTCAGATTTTACTATCCATAACTATGTTTTGCTAGCCAGATTTCCCACTAGTTAGGCTGTTTTGGTACAGTATTTTTCATTTTTGTATACCCACTACATCCCACAAGATCTGGAATTGAAACTAACTGTCGGTAATGAAGAAGTGAACTTAAATAATTTGAGATATCTCCTTTTTGTCATTCCCATTGTGTTTAGCTTTCTCATTTGCAATTGTAACTAGTAGCTATGCCAAGCTTTATTTTCATCAAATACTATACGAATAGCTGCTTTGTTTTTTTTCATTAGCCAAACAGGCGTGTGGAAATGTAAAACCTATCAGCCAAATCTGAATTTTCACTAGTCTGTGACATGCATGCATGTACATATATATAGTCAAGACTTTTCTTTATAGCCACGGTTACTTACGCTTGTTATAGGCTTAAAGACAAATTGTTGTGAACAGTAAAAGCTTTCAAATGTGTTGACATGGTGTATATTTACAAAAACAAAAAGGTTTTGGAGTAATAGGTGTCCAAAAGTAGCAATTAAGTGTAGAAATGATGATAGATGCAAATGCAGTCATAACACTACTGGAAAAAAATACCTGAAAAGATTTTTAGGCTTTGAACAGGATTTAAACCCATGACCTTTATGTGACTGGTACAATACTGAAGGACATCTATTACCATGGAATTCATATACTTGACCTGAGTATTACGTCCACTGAACATAAAGTTCCAAACCCACACACAACCGCTCTGAAGTGGCTTTAATAGCTCAGTTGGTAGAGCATTGCACTGGTAATGCAAAGGTTATGGGTTTGAATCCCATTCAAAGCCTGAAAATTTTTTCAGGTATTTTTCAGTAGTGTTATGGCTGCATTGGCCTCTATCATCATGTCTAAACAGTTTTGTGTTTGGAAAATACAATAAACCCCAAAATGTTTCTTTATTTTCTCACCAATAGTGAAGTAAATACTGCTGATCCAGTGCTAGCAGGACACACAATAAAAGGAAGAGATTTCCAAGAGAAATACTTAAATAAACTATTCCACACACCTCAAATTGTTGGTGTGTTTCTTCAGGACAGGGTAAGTAGCTATTTACAAATGGCAGGATGTGATACTGATCATCACAGAATTTCTCTTCACATGTTCATTAGCCATGCAACAAAATGTACATTATCAAGCAGGCTGGTGCAGGGTGCAAAGAAAACAAATTTTTCGACAAGCTCTATGATATAAAAAAAAATCTGCATACAAGCTAAGTGGCTCATCAGGCCGAAGCTTATCCCGGTTTTTGTAGCCAGCATGAAGCGACTTGGAGTATTTCTCCCCCCCTCCCCTTTGGATGGGATGCTAGTCCATTCAGTGTTACCCTCAGCATTAAGGTCTCCAGTACCCATTTATACACCTGGGTGGAGAGAGATACTGTGAGAGTAAAGTGTCTTGCCCAAGAACAAAGCACAATGTCCCCTGCCAGGGCTCGAAACCGGACTCAATCCAGAAATAAGTGTACTAACCATGAGGCCACCGTGATGCACTAAAGAGTTCATCTACTGTGTCATTTGAATTTCCTTAAAACTGTTGTTAAGAAACTTCACTTGCCCTTAAGTGATGGACAGAAAGTACCAGCCCAGCTGGAAAGTCCACTAGCCTTGAGGTAATCTGACAAACAGGACTTTCTTTACAGGATGAGGTGACGATAAAATTCAAAATCGCCTATTAAGACACATTGCCTTGATATATCTCCAAATTCTCAGAATTAACATCAAATGAAATGTAAGGAGATTTGTTATTTTGGGAATTCTAAAAATAAGTCTAATCAAAAGAAACAGTTTACTCAGCTTCAAATAAAGTCTACCTCAGTTGTCATACTGAGGACTTAATATTACCTATTTTTTACAAACATCTCTGAATGAGCAATATTGTTATTTTCTAACCAGTGAAATGTCTTGCTTGGACTCTAGTAAGGGGAACCATATAATAATAAAGGACTTTTGCCAAGCAGTCAAATGCCACTGCTGTACATTGTACCTAAAGTTCAGATCACTTACAATAAAAAATACTTTTCATCAACCAAAAAAATGTAACATTAAGGTCTTCTGTGTCATTGAGACCTACTGTACTTACGATTCAAAATTTTTATTATTAATTTGCACTTTTAATAAGGAAAATATAGCAGTGAAAAAACAAAAAACAAAAAATTGTAAAACCAACGCCAAATTAAGATATGCTCAAGGACCAAAATTAGCTTATTGAGCTTTTCAGTTGGTTATTGACATGTACATGTACCAACAAGTGAAAAGGTAAACAAGTAGAAAAATGTGCATAGTGAATATCAAATAAATTTATAAATCACACAAACTTTTAAACAAAAATATGTCATGGACTTGACTTGTACTTAGCTTCTCCACAGCATTTTCTAGCTACACACTGCTAATATTATTTCTGCTATTTTTTTTTCTCTAGCTGAGCATAGATGATATAAGTCACTATGGTGATGCATACAGCCCTGGAAACCATGGAGCTGCTTTTTCCAATCTTCTAGCTGCTATGGAAACTGCCAACTCATCAGCTGTTCTTCCATCAGTAGAAGTGTCATCATCTTCTGGTGGAAAGTCTGATGAACTAGTACAGCTGATCAGGAGGTTGGCTAATGGCTTGGTCAAGGAGTTTAACCCAGATGGTAACTTAAATTGGAATTAATTTTCAATTTGAATGTTTAGATTTTGAGTTTTTCCTTGAGGGTCATACAGGGGTATTCTCGTGATATGTGATTAGCTGATTTTATTTTCCGTGAAACATGAATGTAGGAAATTATTCTTTGTGATTCGTGGCCTGAAGGTTTTGTGTGACCCGTAAAGAACTTGAATTATTCAGCAATATTTGTGATTTCACCACTCAATTCTATGTGATTTTGAGGTGCGGATCCTCCGAATGGTTAGAGTCATCTATCAAGAGTGACTTAGACATGCGATTTGCAATATGGAGCCTTGACTTAGCCTTTCACAATTCTTCTTTCTTCAAACACTCTTTCTAGTGTAAGAACAGGTTATTAAAATGAGAATCTTACTTGCTTATTTTTGTGATTCAGGGAAATGCAATTTTTATATCTGTGATCCATGATCCTCTATTTTTTTTCATTCATGAAGCATGTCATAGACTCCCCTGTATGAACCTCTTCCTTATCTGTCATATTCATTATCAATGATATTCTGAAATCAAGGAAGATGCCAATAAACTTGTTTAAAAAATGCTAAATCAGCTTCATGCAAGTCACAGGACAATGCATGAATTAGGAGCAGTGGGTTTGGTCCCTGATCTGATTATTTTGTCTTAAATTAACATTGTATTTTTGGGGGCACTTCCCCTTAACACTGCAATGTCCAAGTTATTTTACAAGGTTTCAGAAGTGTAACAGCTCTCGTAAGCTTGTACAAGTAATTCTTTTGCTTGTTAGCAGCTGTTATTGTTTTGGGACTAGGGGGCATTGTTTCTGTTGTTTGTTCTATTGTTCTCTCAAAGCATATGAAGCCATTTATGTGAGACCTTTTGAGAGCTACTACATGTATGTGACCCCAAGGTTTGAGTGTTGTTTTGTTGACACGTTGTCCTCTTTTGTTCCTGGTAGAATCTGACAAGTTTGATATTTCCAAGTTTTCATTGGACCGGGAAAAGACTAATGTATTTATATTCCATTTGCTTCCAGCTTCTTCAAGGTTTGTTTGGCTTCTTATTGTTGGTGTGTTCAACTTAATAACTTTAACTTAATTTACTTTAAGTTGTTGGCATAAGAAGATTAAACAAGTCTTAATGATTGAGTGTCCTAAACATTACAGAGTGCTTTCACATGACATCACAGCAGCCATATTGATGTGTTAAAACAATGAAACAACAACTATGAACATTGGTGTCTCAAACCAATCATGTGGGACTTGAACTCTTTTCTTATGTAATTACTTTCTTTTGTTACAGTAAATTTGCATGGCAGCTTGCCACGTGAGTGAAAACACTCTTTAGAATTGTGTACTCTCTCTGCAATTTCTGCATTTGCACAATTTTCATTTAGGCTCCAATATTATTACAGGTCACTTCCTATAATCTACTTGTATCTACAAATTTTTGCTGATGATACATGCTGTAGTGTTTACATTTTGCAAGTAGAAACTAATCTGACTATGGAACAGTTTTGAAACACTTGACAGTTAACATTTCTCCTGAATTATTTTGCCAGCTGCTTATATTAATTACTGCGATATATTGATATCATATTTTTCCTTATTAACTATTTAGCACCCCTGCAGAGATTTTCACACAAAATGGTAAGTCTAAAATGAAATTTGTATCCATCATTAGTATTTTATTGTTGTCAAATTTCCAAGGCAATTACAATGAAATTGTGAGGAAATTAAAATTGAATTCATGTAATGTTTGTACTGTTTCTTTGTAGACAAGTTGGTTGGTTCAGTAATTCATCAAATCTCATCAACTGGTTTGCCATATTCTTGTATGTTGACTGCAGCAGCCCCTAGTGAGGTGAGGGTGTGAATAAGTTTATTTCACCTATTTCCAGATACAGTGTACATTTGACTAAATTGTTAAAAGGACAGTGAACTAAGGGGTTTTGAGCTGTGTTATTGTTCATGACACTTTACTCTTATAGCACTTCTCTTTGCCCAGTTAGAAATGATGGTAAATTTTTAGGGTTTCCATCAGGTTTGTCAAAAGTATCTGGCCGCCATTCGGGGGTGCTGAATGGTTCTTTTAAAAGCCATAGAATATTCATCAAATTTCACGGGTCTCACAGTCTTTTTTTTAGCAGTTATGTGCGTCTCTCAGTCTCAGTTTTTTCACAAAGCTATCTCACTTTCTCGATATCTTGCAAGGCTAAGAAAGTCTTAAAGTACCAATTTGTTTGCTTGTTTTCAAGTTTGTTTTTTATAAATGAATGTCTGAACATAATTTTACAACTTGAATGTCTCGAGCTCTCATTTAAAATACTTTGAAGTGTTTGTGTTCGTCTGTGTACCATCGGTCTCGCAATCTCAGAAGTCAAGATGTCTCGGAACAAACTCACATACTACATATACACATATCACATGCGCAGTTATTATTAAAATGTCTTAAATGATATTAATCATTTAAATTAGCCATGTGACAGATGATGGGATATTAATAGCCTGTGTCTGTAGCTACTAGAATTTTCCTTGTTTTTATTTCACGTTATTGCATTACCTCTGGGGATTGCGTAATCTACTCAATAGCACTTAACGTGTCATCATTATGCACAGTGTGCATTTTTTCCACCAGTACTTGTTTGGTGGCTGGCAGTTAAGTTTTCTCCAGTTTCTACTGTGTTTTGCTGGCATTTAACTTGTTCTGAGCATCTGACGTTTTATTCTGAAGAGTTAAATCCTGTTGGACTCGCAGCATACCCACTGACTCACTCACTCACTCACTCACACGCACTTATGTGCACAATGATTGAACTGTCCATTTGAACTGTGGGGGTCGTTATCTGTATCGTCTACTTACAGTGTCCATCTGCCTAAGTTCTGTCCTCAGAATAAATCTAAGGAGGCCAAATGCACACATGTTATGCTAATACTAATACAGGAACCAATTGCTTACATTCAAGGCCATTTATGAAAGAAAGCTGTCAGAGGAAAGGTCTGCCATGGCTCACGACCGACTGCGCCGAGCACTAGAAGAAAATAACTCTGCTGTAGATGCCAATGCCCTTCCCGTTAATGGCAGTTTGTTTGCTAGCAGTGACTGCATCTTACTATACTCCAAGGGGTTTACCTTTGAAACGAATAATGTGTCTTTTGATGTCTTGAATGATACAAAAATGACATATACTGTTTCTTCAGAGTGTCAAAATACTTCTGACAGGTATGTCTGCAATTACTGTACGTTGATATTTTGGGAGGATATACAAATTATGCATAGAACTATTGTTTGAAGAAGAAGTTGTTTATGTTTATGGACTGAAGTGGCTGCAAAGTGCGCCTTCATATGCCGATGTCCAATTTCACCTCTCTGGTTCCTCCGCAATTCAGCCTCTGGCTGCAAGGGAGGAAACTGGCACCAACTATCTATCTATCTATCTCTATCTATCTGTTTTTCCCATGTGAGAGGTGAAGTGTTGTAATGGTTAACACTACTAGCATGTTGCACTCAACGCGAGAGTGCTAGGTTTGAATATGGGTCCTTAAGTCGTGTTCTTGGGCAAGATGCCTGACTTTCTTAATGTACAGAAAACAATGTATGCACCCACCCAGCAGATTTAAAGGGGCTACGCCACACAGCTGTAGGCAATTTTAGCTCCGACCTTGTGATCATAGATGTAGATTATACTTTCATATCACAATAAGGGCTTAAAACTGTGGAAGAACTCAAAAGCACTGTCATGTTTTTGTTTTTGCAACATTTTGACGTCATCTGTGATCAATTAATGATGCAGAACAGATGCACTACAACATGGAATCTATGTGTTAACCTGATTTATCTAATCTAGAGTTAAATTTACTTACCTTAGTGC